GCTCATACGCGATATTCTCTTAATAATAATCGGTGTTGTCTTCGGCGCTGTGGGCTGCACTGTGGCCATACAGCAGCTGGTGGCTGATCTATCGGCGAAGCCTTCTGGGCATGACATAAGCTGACGACGCTAACTCCCTACCGCTGCTTTTAACAGTTAAACCCCTGGCTATCTATTTGAGCAGGTTTTACATTTACATTATTTGCAGCTGTTGTTGTTGCTACTGCTGTTGCTGCTGCTGTTAGTTGTCTGCTAAGCTTTGTTGAGTTTTAATTAATTGCCCGGGCAAGTGTGTTGTCGGCTGTTGTTCATCCCAGCTAAGCCAGCGACCAGGATTTGTGTATGTTAGACTACGATTTGCTGCCACTTCAGATGCTTTACGTTTTCCGTAAGTTGCTTTCTGTATGTTTTTAATAGTGGCTAGTTCAAATGAATGCATTAAAAGATGACGATAGTCTAGTAGGTATATTTGTGTGAGTGGACTAGAGTCGTACGGCAGTTAAACTTAAGTGTAAGGTATTTCAGAGTCGGGCATTCGCACCTTACATATGATATCGATTGCTGGTGGCATTAATTAGGCGCTGCCCCGGCTGCACGTAAGCTGATCAACTGCGCAAATCATTTTAAATGAAACGAGCTGTAATCAAATGCAGTCAGTCAGTCAGTCAGGCAGACAGACGGACAGAAAGACAGAAGGACACGGACAGACGACAGCCACAACAATTGCGCCGAGTCCTTTGCGATTCTAAAATTGAATTCCTTGCCTCAGCGGAGCCCAAACACAGAACTTGCTTGCCAAAGTTCGTTGGTAGCTGTTGTGGCCCCAGCACAATAAACTAAAAGACAAATACAAATACAAACACAAATGCGCCGAGGCGTCCTGCCGTTCCATTGCCGGCTACCCAGCTACAGCAAATATATACATACATATAAAAATAGGCACAGCTAAAGCAACTGCAACTGCAACTGCTGACGTCGACGCCGACGCCGAYGCCGATGCCGATGCTGATGGCGATGCCGACGCCGACTGTTGACTGTGGCAGTGTAAATAGCAAAATACAATAAAAAAATAAAAGTAAAAAAAAAAAATAATAATAAAACAAAAAGAATGCAAGTAGAAAAGGCATGATGCGAAAATAGTAAAGCAGCTCCTCAAGGAACTGCACGACGACGATTGCGACCACTGCAGCAAACACACAGAACACAATTTCCATTCTTCAAATAGGAATACAAAACAACAACAAAATAAACGAACGAATAAAAAGAAGGAAGAAATCTTGCAACTGCCTGCGACAGAGCTCGCGTAGGGGAAGGAGGAAAAAAGAGAGTGAGAGAGGGAGAGGAGCGCAACAAAGGCCGAGGCTGTTGTCCTCGGGCATGATTTTTGCAGACATGTTGCTTAAAACTTAATTTACAATCGCTTCGCAGTGGCCCTTCTCAGCCAGCCAGAGGAAATCAGCTAAACAAGCGCCAACCAAAATGAGATCCAGCCTAGGCTGACGCTGTACGACTCAGCTGCGACCAGGATACCAAAATTTGCTAGCGGCGGCCCGTTACAAATAATTTTCGTATATAATTTCGTGGGGCTTTGCTCACAGAATAAAAAAAAAACTGAAATGGCAAGTAGTAGGTTTCTTTTGCCTGGTTGTCAGAACAGCATCATGTTAGTGTCATTATCAAACAATTGCGCGCTGCGAAGTCAGCTAAAGAATGCCACAGTCAGCCAAGCAGCCAGCCAGCCAGTCGGCCAGACAGTCAGACAGACAGCTTGCACTGTCTTCTGCTTCGTTTACGTCACTGGGATCTCTCACATGGCCGTCGGAAAGTTGTCGCGCTGTCGCACATGGCGGCCCGCAAACAATGCGTGCCACAACTTCATTTTGTGGAGAGTTTTGGAGCTGTGGAACTGTAGAAGCCAGAACCCCGCCAGCATATACTCGTCTACTATGTGACAGCCTTTCGTTTCTCAAATTGAAAAATTCCAATTTGAATGCAATTATTAGAGAACAGAATAGGATAATATTTACACAAATTGCGACATTCGCAGATATCTAAGCTCTCATTTGCTTGATTGCTTTTTAAAACGCTTATTATTGAAATATGTATGTTTTCTGCAACCCACAGTCAGTTACATGAATAGGAAAAGAGCATAAGCAGAGATGTGAGAATAAATGTACTTTTGATCCCGTTAGACAGGCGCTGCAAGCACTGCAGTGCACTGCAGGCACTGCAGGCAGTGTTGCCTACTCTTCAGCGCTTGTACAAAAGAAAACCAAATAATGAGTATTTCATATAAATATAGCTAATAATAGCTATAATTCCCACAAGACTCTATATCACGTTCGATATTTATTCAACGCAAAAACAGGCTGAAAATAGCTAAACAGGCAAAACTGATGGAAGGTTGCACGTATGAAGAATGGGTAACTGAGTAGGAAGGATCAGTTATGCGCGGACGACAGAGCCAGGCGGTCGGGTGTTTTATGTAAAGCGGATATCGAAAGCATTTTTTTTTTTTTTTTTTCTGTGCATTCATATTTGCTTTGTACAAATCAAACAATTTTCAAATATGTGTCTTTGTGTTTAATAGTCAGTGGAAGCCTTTCGTTCGCTTCAGTGCCGTGTTTAAGTAAATAAAATTATTTGCAATGTAGTTATTGAGTTGGTGAAAAATCTCAATGCTTCTGATCCCGTTAAATTTTAGTGTAGCAAGTTGCACGAATAGACAGTGAGAGTGTTAGTGTAGTGTGAAATCGGGAGCGGAAACGAGAGCGAGAGCGTAGGTATGTCGTTCGTTTTGGCGGTTTTACATATTCCTTCGCGAGTCGGTTGCGAATGCTGCTCTCTTCGTCGTTAGGTGTTAGTTTTTTTTTCTGTGCATTCATATTCGCTTCGTATAAATCAAACAATTTTAAAATATGTGTCTTTGTGTTTAATAGTCAGTGGAAGCCTTTCGTTCGCTTTAGTGCCGTGTTTAAGTAAATAAAATTATTTGCAATGTAGTTATTGAGTTGGTGAAAAATCTCAATGCTTCTGATCCCGTTAAATTTTAGTGTAGCAAGTTGCACGAATAGACAGTGAGAGTGTTAGTGTAGTGTGAAATCGGGAGCGGAAACGAGAGCGAGAGCGTAGGTATGTCGTTCGTTTTGGCGGTTTTACATATTCCTTCGCGAGTCGGTTGCGAATGCTGCTCTCTTCGTCGTTA